GGGGGGGGGAGGGACACTAAGCCACAGCACAGAAATGTAGGCATTAATATGGGGCTTTTGGTCCACCCCGAGGCCCGCCCACAAACTGTGCCTCCCCAGACTCAGGAGGCACCAGTCACCCCTGGGTACCTCAGTCATTTTCCTGCACTTAGACACATATTAAAGGCTTGAATGGTGCTGGTGCCTTTGGAACTCACTTCTCATGCAAGCCATCTTTCTGGATCTCCATGGGAATGCCTGTGAAAGGAGTCTGGCAAAAGTAGCTCTTTTGTCATGTGGAATCCTCTCTACTAGTAACTGCTACAAATCCATCAATAGATTACAAACATGGCCTCCAGTCAGCCCTGAGAGAATAATTTCTGTTCATCAGTGAGCTGACTTTCAGATTTTCAGCTAGAACCAAAAAGGTGAAGGGCTCAATGTCACTTTAATATTCTCTAAACCATCCAATTCTCAATTTATTTGGCTTTTATGCAAACTATTTCAAATCACTCTTTTAAAGTACGAAAACCAGCCTGAGTCATAAGCCATTTATTGACTTGGAAATGATTTTATAAAACTCTTCTTTATCTGAATAGGTCTTTTCAATAAAAAGTTAATTAAGAGGGTGTCAAAATTGTGAGAAATAACTAACCTGACTTCCAAGAGAGACATTTTATGGCGGTCCCTAGTTTGCTGAAATCAGAATACAACAGCATACTTTTTGAGTATCTAATTACTCCTTTTCTGTAGCTGGACCTTGTCTTCTAAAAAAAATAATATTTCCCTTATCTTAAGATAAAAATAGAGTGCTCCTTTGAAATAAACAATTCCTATAAGCATTTATTGCTCTGTATATAACTTTTTATTTCTCTAAATTGCTTTCACATTCACTCTGTCATAATTGAGCAGAAGAGAGAGACAGGAAAGCTGAAGCACAATAACATTACCAAATATGAATTAACCACTTCACTTAATTGGTTTGATTCTTTAATGTATAATTTATATTGGCTAATTATACAGCTTTTGTCATTTAAGTGGTGAAGTAAATGCAACCCATCAGTCTTCTTCTGAAGCATATTTTAACAGTTGGAAATCAGCCACAACCATCCACAAGGCTAGCTTAAAACTATCTAGCACCCAATGTGTTATGGGTGAGTCCACTAGGTCCAAGGCAGGATGTGCTGAATTGTCCTTTTTCTTAACCATTCATCATATGCATTACTAGGTAGGAAAGAATGAGTGTCAGTTCCTTTTTAAACAGAAAAATCACCGAATAAATATTTAAATGTGAATTGCTGTCATTATTTTTTTCCATACAAATATGACACCTCCTTTTCACCTGAGAGGTATTACATTCATTTTCTTGATCTAATTTAGAAGAAAGGTCCCGTTTCCCTCCCATCAGACAAAAATCTTTCTTTTTAAGGGGGGGACAGAGGAAAGCATGTTTGGCTATGAAAATGTTTACAAATTATTTTTCCCTTTGTCTGTGAAGGATGTAAAGCCATTTAGAAAGGCTGTTATAGGCTGTTAAAATACACATTAAAAACCCCCATGGAGGCATACTTCTACTAATGAAAACCATTCCTCCTTCCAGTTATAAATACAGACTTCTGTCATGAACTCTCTTGTTTTCTGAAATGTGGGTCAAGAGCTACAGCTCAGTTTGGAGGTTCCCCTTTATTTTCACTGGTCCTTCTCATTATCTAAAGATATGCAACATAGGACTTCCCTGCTGAATACTCTTAAAACACAGTTTATATATATATATATATATATATATAAAACACATTTTTATATATATATATATATATATATATATAAAACAAAAAACCCATGATCAATCCACAGTCTTCCAGCACTTGAATTTCACAGCGCATCTAAGCCTGCCTGATTTTTTAAGATACCCTCAGCAAGACAAAGGTTATATTTACTTTCTTGTGTGTGTTTGGTAAACATGGAATGCATTATTTATCTATGTAGTTTCTTTTATATGTAGTTTTTCAATATAGTTTCTTCATTAATAATATATGATCTTTCACTTTTTTGGAAAAAAATATAATCCTTCTAGCTAAACACAGAAAATAAGTCTAAACCTTTTCCTGTTATATAAATAGTTTGTCATTCCATAATATAATAGGGCATGCAGCATCTTCGGCACAGGAACTTATTAGGTTACTTGCTCCATTAATGAACAATCTCGGTGAGGTTCTGAGTGTCCCCGCTCACACTGAACAAGTTGAGAGCACTCAGGGGTCTTGCAGGACTGGGCTTAATAGTGAAGCTTATTTTTAACACAAAACAGAGATTAGGCACTAGAGACTTCTAAACAGTGACAACCCAGTAGGTAAGCAATCTACCCTATTAAACACTTGTCCTGATTAAAAGAAGCTGAACTTTCAAGGGGAAAAGAAAAACAGTATGAAATAATCAACTGAACAAAAATGCAGTTATGATGCTTGAATTATTTCCTTCCTTTATCTTCATTTATCTTTATGTCTATGCAATAGTGTACTGTTGAGAAGTTCACATGCATGACATGCCAAGTTAAATTCACTTAATCCTTTACTCTGCCTGAATATGTTTCCATTAACCAGAACGCTTGCTATTTCTGTTCTGCTTCAGTAGTAATTACTTCTCCCACACCTAGATACAGTAGTTGTTACTCCTCCCATGCCTAGATACATTCCCTGGGTTACATACCTAACAAAGACTGCTTCAGTGAATGACTATCCTGAGAAATTATATCCTAATTCAATAGGGGTGGAGTGATGTTGTACTCATAGTAGTCCAGGAATTATGTTACAGGAAAAGTTTTTTTTTGCAGTTAGTCCAATAAAATATAACACCTTCAAAAATCCTTGCCTCTCCCAATTCACTGGAATATTCCAACCTCTGATATTTTAGCTGTAGGCCACAATAAATGTTTATATCTAGTACCAATGTTCATCTTAGAAATTTCCTTCTTCTCCTTTGTTGAAAGTTACTGCTATTATTTGGTTTCTTTGGCATTTGATATAATAGAAGAATTCCAGTAGGGTATAGAAAAGAAGACAAGCTTGAACTTTTGGGGATATTTTGCTCCCAAACAGCCATGATTGGACAGAAAAGTTATAACTACAGTACATACATTAAATAAAATCTTCAAGGTTGTCTTCATGGAGGTGTAAAAAAAAAGAAGAATCTCATTGTTTCTCTGTGGGGAAAAAATATTGTTTGGCATATGTGATGCTAATATATTTTTCTTTGCACTTTCAAAGCCTTCTGTCTATTAAGCCACAGAGTTATATTGTAAGAGAAGTTCAAGAGCTGACTCAAACCCATAACAGCAAAGAGCGCAGAAACTTTGACATAAAAAAGAACATTGAGAGCTATGAATTGGTCACACTAGAGAGTTGTGTTTGAGCTTTCTGTTGGTTCTGAGACTTCTGATAAAATGTCATGGAATCCACTACTGAAGAAGGGTATGTCAAATGTTTATAAATGAGAGAAAATTATATTGTTGTAACAACACAGGTATGGTTCTATGAGTTCAGGTCCTGTTGACTGAGGGCCAGTAACATGTAATTACAATATAATATGGATACCTCACAAAGTAGGCTTGCAATTCATTACACTCAGAGCTATATAAATAGTAGGGGGAAAGCAGCATCATTTTATTTCCAACTTGTTCACAAAATATTCTGTTCTGATTATATGAGAATGTCTTGCTTTCTGTCCTTGCATGGGTGACTGGTAGGGGGTGAATGTGTCCCCCCGACAGCCGACACTAATGCTGTCAGTAGGGGTGGTGCCCCTCCGACAGGGTCAGTGGCTTCTGTGGGTGCACCCCCCCCCCCGATTCAGGAGGCACCCGTTACTCATGTGTCCTTGGCTTGGAATTGCTTAATGTTTCCAAAGCTTATTACTTCGAGTAAACTCTTAAGGACCTCATTTTCAGACATGCTGAACAGCTACAACTCTGCTAAGCTTCAAAGAGAGATGCAGGTGATAACACTTCTGAAAATCAGGTGCTAATTCATTCAGACGGTTTTTTCCAAATTAACACATTTTTGAAAAAGCCTAATTTAGACTAAATCATATAAATTGTTGGTACGCAATCTCTACTTTTCTGTTAAGAGTATTTTCCAAAACAGAATAAACCTTGATAGGTTAATTGGGTGCAACAGACTTTAACCCACTTCTCACAAGAATTGTATTTAGACAGGAACCAGTACTACTTTTGATTTTACCACCAGAAATCATTTGGGCAAGGTACAGACATTTAAAAAGCCCAAGGTCAAATAGATCTAAATTACACACTTTTCTGTAAGTGGTGTGTTTAGATCAATAGCGAACAACACACACATTCACCCTTGGTGGTGGGTGGGTGGTGGGGATACAAACCTTAGCTAGGGTTCTGCCATTTTTAAACTGGCCTAAGCATGCCAAACTTCTGGTCTATTTTGGGTATAGACTTGTTTTCTGTGCCAAACTTCTTTTCTGTTATGGGTATAGGCCAGTTTCTGATCACCTATATTGATAAAAATGTAATATCTGTACCTGGCTTTGAAGAGTAATATCCACTTTGCTTGAACTTCCAAAATCTTTTTTTCTTGTTTTAGAAAAAGGTGCAACTTACCAGCTCTGGATCAGATCTTGTAAAATGCCAATAAATTTTTGTATTGAAATAATCTGCATGACTGGACCTTCTATTCTGTAAAATCATTTCTTTTCCTCAGTCATAATGGATAAAAAAATCTATTTCAAATTATTTCATCATGAGTTAGTCTCCCTGCTGCCTGGCCTCCAACTCTCATTCTTTTTAAAGGTTTATTTACATTGATATCATAAACCACACTCATTTGGAAATTGATGTTTAACATAAAATAAAACATACTCTTCGGAAACCGGGGCGGGTTGTCATTTACATCCGTGAGAGTGATGTTTACAGTGGTAGTGCCAGCTAGTCCTCCCAGCTGTCCTCCCATGTCCTTGGCTTGGATCAGTACTTGATACTGTTCTTTAACCTCCCGATCCATGTTTGGCAAAGCTGTTCTTATTACACCTTGGAGGAAAAAAGAGAGAAATCCAGTACATATAAAGAAAAGCAATCTGACTGCAAGTCAGCTGATTATATAATGCTGTAAGCAGTAATTTTTTAAAATAGCTTTAACAGCAAGTTTTTAAGTGCAGGTTAGACAAATATTTCTTTGAGATCATCTGACAGAGACGATCCTGCCTTGAGTGGGGGGTTGGTCCAAATTTCTTCAGGTCTCTTCCAGCCCTATGTTTCTGAGAGTCAATTATTTTTTGAGACAGTCAATTAAAGACTTACAAGCTTCAATGGAGAAGTGTGTTTTCTTTAATGGTGTAAATAAGGAGAGGATGAATGTCTTTTACATCAAGAAGGAAAGGTTGTAAGGAGCAGCCCAGATCCTTAAATGGGAGAAGGTGTGAACTTTTGACAAAAGAAATGCAGAAAGATGTGAGTAGCCATTACTATTTGCAGGCAAACAGAACACCCCACATCTCTACCAAAACGGAGATGCTCACTAAGTAGCATCCCTTTTTACAAATGGAAGTGTTAGATGATCAAATAATCACCTGATACAACAACTGAATGTGCTGAAACCTTTTACTTGTTTGAAAAGCTATTGTAAATATCCTACTTGCACTACTAAATATAAAATTAATCATTAGTTAATTCAGTTTGAACAGCTGACACGTAGGTCTTCAATAACTTACTTTCTCATATGTTAAAAGTGTGGCTTGTGGCCTAATTCCTTCAGAAAGGTATGCTATCTTGTCATAAACCAGCCCCATATAATGAAATATAATTAAGCAATAAGTCTCTGAAAATGGTTCAGTGCAGGCAGTTTAATGCAGACAGCCTGTGTGGTTATGAAGCAAGCCAGTTGGAGAAGGATTATTATTATTTCAGAAATTCTTATTTATGAATGTTTGGCTGGTTGGTTTTAAAAACAGTCTTTCTTTCTAGTGTTATAATGTAGGTAGTGTGATAAGAAACACTCTCTTGGGATGCCTGTTATTTCTCTAGCAATTAACAGCTGTTGTGTCAACCAGTAAGAATGGAATCAATTAGTTTATAATGCTTGTTAGGAGTCTAGAAATAACTTTTGATTTGATTTGCCATTTTCTCAACTTATCAAAAATTCCTATTAAATTGAATTGTATAACAATAAAATTGGTTTTTTTTTCATTTCTAACATTGATGGTGGTAATAACAACAGTTAATAATCATGTCCTCCCTCCTACCCTGCCATGGCATTCTGGGAACTGTAAAAACCCAGAAAAATAATAACTTTCATCTACTGCTTTTTTGAAACAATTAGGCACACATGCATATAGCACTGAAGCAATATATTGTCATTCTTTTAAAAAATACAATATTATAAAATGGGCTTTGCTTGGCAAGGCAGAACTATCAAATTATAAAGTTCAAGAACAGATAAAGTAACTGAAAATACAGATGTAAAAAGGGGATAAAACATTAAGAAGTGTCAGCACTGTGTATCACTGCTAAAATAATGTATTAGGGGTTGAAAACAGAAAGGAAAAGTTGCAATATATTTTTTATCACAACAATATTTTTTGTAAAGAGGATAAACCTGATCAGCTTTCCACTTAAAACACTCTTTCCCCTGGTTTACATCTATACTGTTTTACAACATCTTTCTTAAGATTGAGTCTAAAGAATAAAGAGCTATGGAAATTAATAGTTTATCTTATCATATGAATAAAGGTAAAAAGAAAATGAAAATATACCCCCAAAGGGGGAAGAGCTCTGATATATGCAGTACTTGGTGGAACAAGCAGAGACTATTTCCTGACCAGGAGGTGCAATTCATTTGATTTTTACATTACTCTTTTAGATATCATGGAGTTGCTTCAACTCTGTTCAAAATCTTCCTAATGGTCCTTAGTAAATGAAGAATTGGCTGTCATTCTGGAACCGAAGTGCCTAATCAGCCACTGGTTTTCCTGTCTGGAAGTCTGAGGGCATTCTGCAATTTTTCTATAAGAGATCTGTCTCCGGTAAAAATCAATGAGAATAATTTTAATGTCTAAAATAGTTCATAAGCATTTTTTCCCTCACCTCTCACCCTATATTAAAAGACTAAATGATAAACCACCTCTTCTACTGGAAGGCATGTATTATACAGGAGGGCCAAAGAACATATTTAAAACTAACCAGAGTAAACAATCATTTAAAGTAATGACTGCCAGGAAAGAATAGAATACAGGAAGAGTTAGGGCCACATTGCATATTACACTTAGGACATGTTAAATGCATTTAAAATATGAACATCCAAGTGTTCAAACACTAAAACACATGCTAAGTGCACTTATGTCACTGTAAAGTTGCAACTTTTCACAGGAGGAGTATCTCCAGATTGTTTTAAGTAACACATGTTCAGCTGTCATCATGGAGAAAATATGAACAATTTGCAGTCCTCCAGCATTGCCTAATCCTGCTTATAGAGGCAGGTGGTATTAGGCAACTAGGAAAAAGATTCCCTGAGTGGTGTATTCAAATTAGTGACAAAAGAAAGCAGAGGGCTGATTTTCACATCCCCCAGCTCCCATCAGCTAATTGTTGGTCCCAGCTACAACTTCACACCAGAGTCTTGAACAAACTCAATGCAGGGCTGAGGCTAACAATCAGCTGTTTGTCAGTCCTAGGCCCAGAACTGTACCAGATCCAGTTCGAGACTGGTGCACAGCTGGGGCAATCAGCAAGCTGTGCTTGTTAGGGATCATAATAAACATGATCAGAACATTTTCTAACTTTAATACTGTATAGATGTAACATGTGCTGTGTGACCCGTGTGACAAAGCCCTTAGTATTTCTTCTTCCTTTTAGAAAGAACATGAGAATGTTCTCTCAAGGCTTATTTTAAGAAAGATGTCTCCACACATTTCCTACTGTACTGAATGCATTTACGTTCCTCTTCCTGCAAGGTTTTAAAATAAAACCAACTGTATTTCTAGCACTTAATAATACTTGAAGGTTTGGAAATACGATAACACTGTGGCTTCCAACTGGCTAGAATTGATCAAACATAGGTCTCAATCCTGAAGATAGGACCTGGGTCCATACTGAGCCAACTGTATTCAACTGGGCTTAAAATGATGTGTGCCATGATGTAATACAAACCAACATTTTTAACCCCTAATATATGTCAAACATGAATGTGTTGTTAAAAAACCCTGAATATCCATCTTCTTATCTATGTATTAATGTTTCTGTTTTCTATTTCTGCCATTACCTTGTGTATCCTCCCAAAGGGCTCTGTACTCCTCTTCCTTATCAAAAGCACCAGAAGGGAAACATATTCTGGGACTGTGAAATGCTAGTGTTCCAACTTCTCAGCTATTTTCTACATAAGATAAATGGGACAAGGCTATCAAATATTTGGGAATATCTGTTCCCACACCTCATGGAGTTTAGAGTGGTTATGTCTATCATCTCTCTTGAGGCGGCTTTCAGAGTCTCTGTTGTCTGCATAACATCAGTGCCCTCATGGCTGATTCCTTTGTTTTGACTTTTTGCAACAAAAGGTCAGACTGAAAGATAAAGGCACCCAGAAAGTACTGGGAGCTCCTGAAGTGTATTCTAGCAGGTTGAGGATTTACTCAGCTCAAACAATCTTTGTTTGCCTGCAGTCCTTGCTTATTGTCTCTGCTTCTCCAGGGCAAATTATCTCCACGCAAAAATGAACACAGACAATTAACAATACAAAGAAACAGGTAGCGTGTGGTCTTTTCTCAGACCAACAAGAGGGCCTAGGCTTGAGTCTGCCACCACCAGCCCATACTCCAGCAAGTCCCAATCTCTCTGTTAACTCTCAGTCTCTCAGCATCTCTCTGGGCTTCTTCATAGTCTCTCAGAACCATACAGAGTGTCCTGGCTCAGGCTTCCATCTTCGACCCCATGGCTGGACTTCCTGTCTCCCCCATGGGCTCTCTCTGGGAGTCTTTTACTTCCCACAGAGCTAGCTAGTTACTAGGGCTCTGCAAAACTTCGGTCACTGATTTGATTTGATCCAATTTGGCGGCCAAATCTCCAAATCCAAATCAAATCAGAATACCCTTTAATCTCTCCAAATAGATGCAGAGAGATTCAGAGAGATTTGATGATTCAGACAGACACAGCTTTAAATGTTTTTTCTACACACCTCAAGGTACCAGGCAGCTCATGAATGCTGGGATGCTGGGACAGATGGAGCACCCCTTGGGAGCACAGAGGGATGCCCAGCTCAGTCGGCAGTGGACCCAGAAGTGGACCAGAAGCACTTCCGGTCCACTTCTGGGTCCGCTGGGGAGTGCGTGGGCCCCCTCCCCTCCATCCCACAGCTCAGCGACTGGTGACTCCTGGGTCTGGGGGGGGCACCTGGCATCCCCCCCAGCCGATCACCAAGCCAGGGAGGTTGGGGGGGTACCAAACGTGCTCAGCAGTGGACTCAGAAGTGGACCGGAAGTACTTCTGGTCCACTTCCAGGTCTGCCACTGAGCAGGGGGGCGGAGGGGGGCATGCTCCTCTGGGATGCTCCACCTGCCCCACTATCACAGCACTCATGAGCCATGCCTGGTACCTCAAGGTATGTAGAAAAAGCATTTAAAGCCATGACTATGCCTGAATCATGGATTCTCTGAATTGGCTTCAAAACTTTGGATCCAGCCAAATCAAATTCGGACAGTGATATGAATCAACAAATTGAATCACTGTCACTGATTCGAGCTGAATCTGAATCGAATACAGCCCATTTTGCACACCTGTACTAGTTACCTTTGTCAGCTGGATAAGTCATCCAGAGTGGTCCTGGGGTTGCAGCTCCTTCCATGCAGCCTGTTACAGGTACAATATTGGAAGTCCAACAAGATGACATGATGGAAGCACAAGAAGAATGGCAGTAAACCAATGTGGCTGCACAAGGAGTTTCTAGGATGCCTCAAATGTAAAAATAAAGCATATAAGCAATGGAAAAATGGGCAGGTTACCAAGGAAGCTAGCTTATCAGGAAACAGGAAGAAACTGCAAAGACAAAAATCAGGAAGATTTTTTAAAGATAAAAAATTAGATTTACCTGGTCAGGAAGATTAAAGACAACAAAAAGAGGTTATATAAATATGTTGGTTAGAAAAGGAAGACCAAAGAAGCTGTGGGTCAACTGTTAACTAGCCAGGAAGAACTCTTAACAAAAGATGCAAAGAAGGTGGGCTACTTAGCCTTAGAATTCACAAAAAAAAAATTAAACTGTAGCTAGATGTCTAATAAGGAATATTTGCATAAGGAAGGGGACAAGCTGGAAAAAATAAGGAGAGAGACAGTCAGAGAGCTTTTGATGGGCCTTGATGAGCAGGGCCTGATAAACGTCATCCTAGGGTAATGAAAGAACTGCCAGAAGACATCTTGGAGTCCTTGACAACGGTATTCTTGAAGTTTTGAGAGATGAGCAAGGTACCAGAGGACTGGAATAGTGCCTCTGTTTAAAAAAGGCAAAAAGGAAACCCAGGGGAATAGATTGGTTAGCATTACTTCAATACCTGAACACTTACTGGAGCATATCTTAAGGAAGGCCATTTGTAACTATCTAGAGGAGGAAAGGCCCATCAGAAGCAGCTAGCATGGATTTACTAAGAATAAATTATATCACACAGTCTTGATTTCCTTCTTTAAGAACGTAACTATTTTGGATGAATGAAGGGAATGGTGTGGATATAGTATCTGGACTTTAGCAAGACTTTTGACAAAGGACTGCATGATTGTCTTATAAACAAATAGAACAAATGTGGGCTGGGAAAAACTTCTATAAGGCGAACAGACAACTCTCTCAATAACCCCAAACAAGGGGTGTGTACTGGCCCTACTGCTGTTCAATATGTTTATTAATTATTTGGATCCTGGCATAGAAAGCTTCTTGAGCAAGTTTGCCCACAAGACAAAACTGCAAAGGACTGCAGAATGGGAACACAATACAGAAGGACTTCAACAGATTGGAAACCTGGAATGAAGCTAATAGGATGAAGTTCATTTCTGATAAATGCAAGGTACTATAGCTTGAGAAGATAATCAAAAACACAAATACAAAATGGGTGACAACTGGCTGGATGGAAACAGAAGGATCTGGGAGTGTTGGCAGATCAAAGATTCAATATGAGTTTTCAGTGGGGCACAAAAGGCAAATCTGGTTTTGGGATGCAACAAAAGAAGCATTATATGCAAGAAGTGGGAGGTGATAGTGCCTCTCTTCTCAGTACTGGTTAGGTCTCATCTATAGTATTCAGTTTTGGCCTCCACATTTTAAAAGGGATGTGGAGAAGTTAGAGAGGATTCAGAGAAGGGCAACAAAAATGATAAAGGGCTTGGAAGGGAAGGCATATGAGGAGAAGCTGAAGGAGCTAGGGATATTTAGCTTGTGGAAAAGAAGCTTAAGAAGACACATGATCGCAATCTTCAGAAAAAGAGGTGAAAACACCTTTTCTCTCTTACTGTGAGGATTAGGGTGCGGTCCAATAGCAAAGTATGTTTAGACTGGATAGCAGGAAAAACTTCTTCACTGTTAGCCTAGGGAAGTTGTAGACTCTTCACCATATCCATCATCTGCATGTGGTGGAGAGTGTGGGTGTGTGGGGGGAGGTTGTGTGTGTGGGGTGTGGGGGAAGGTATGGGTGCATATGTGTGTATGGGAGGGTGAGGTATGTATGGGTACAGTGAGGGTTGGGGTGTGGCGGGGATGTGGGTGTATGGAAAGATATGGGTGTGTGGGGGAGCTTGTGGGGGGTGTGGGCATGTGTATGGGGTGTGTATCCCCAAAGCCACATGGGATGAGAGCGTGCAGGGCCAGCCTGGCCAAGCCCCACAGCATACGGCTCCCACATTCCCACCCCAGGCCCCGGTCCCACGTGGTGGCAGCATGCAGGGCCAGCCCTATTTGGCCCCATAATGTGCAGCTCCTGCCCAAGTTCCTGGCCGCACGTGGTGGCAGCATGTGGGGCCAGCCAGCCCCAGCCCCATAGTGCACTACTCCTCACTCTCACAGTCCACCTTTCCCCCAACAGTTCTTGACCTCTGCCCCAGTGGGTCCCTTACCTGAATTTCCACTCTCACAGGGAGGGTGGACTAGGAAACAACCACAGGGTTACCAGGCAAAAACGTCTGCCAGGAAGAAGCTCCTTGTCTCCAGTACCCCCTACCTTGGGACTAGGGCTGGGGCAGGCCAGGCCAGGCCAGATTGGGCTGGGGTGCGGGCTGGCTGCTTAGCAAGCAGAGCCAAAGCTGCTGCTCAAGCTTTCAAAGGAGCAGCTGAGGGCTAGGGACAGTGATAACTGTCCTTTGGGTTTTGGAGAGGACCTGCAAGCTGGATGGAATTGTCTGGCAGGCCGGATCCATATTTTGCTTGTCCCTGGGTTGTGTTGTGTCTTGTGTTGTGTCAGAGTTGACTGTGTAGTTTTGCTAAGTGGTTAGACAATGGATTTGTATAGGATGTTTTGGATAGGGATGTTCCTGCCTCAGACAGGGGGCTGAACTAGATGACGTATGGAGGTTCCCTGTAGCCCGACTTCTGTATGATTCTATGTGTACATTGTAAGCTAATGCTGCCCAGAGTAGCTTGAATCTATATATAATTTTATATGAGTGCATCAGTTCTTGAAGTGAACGCACAAGCATGCTGTTTGCTTTATAATTTCTTTCTTAGGGCCTGTGACTTCTCCTTTCAAAACCAAGTTCCACCTGAGTAGCTTAGTCAATTAGGCTCATAATTTATAAATTTTCCCCTCTGTATGATCTTCCCGGACTATTTAGAGGTAATTTATTCCCATACATTCTGATCAGAACTAAATAAACCAGTTAGACCAGCTAAAACACTTCAGGATATCTTGTTCTAATTTGTAGGTACTTGGTAACATCATCGACTGTTGTTGAGATATCAGCTTATACCAAGAAAAAGATTTCTAGTTCACCATGACATCACTCTCCATTCCCCACAAGACCGTGTCAAACAGTTAGCATTAAGGTTAAGTCTCCCCCTTCCTCCCCCAGGTACCTAAAAATGTCACATTTTGATTCTGAAAGTAAAGATGCTGGTCATATCCTGAAATATGATGTCCTGCTAAATGGAGCATATGAGAAAGAAACTTGCCCTTTGGAGATCATATACTAATAGTGCTGTGCAGCTCCCACCTCCAATTATTGATTAATCAGGTAGAAAGGCTCCTTAACACTCAATCTGACATTCAAGAACAGCTTCACTGCTAAGAGAAATTCCATGTGTTCAAAGGGACTCATGGGTAACTATTCTTCTACATATTCAAGACACACCCTTTGTAGCACTGTGCAAGTTCTTATTTTCTTTTCTGAATTATTCAATATAGAAATAGGAATGACATTTAGAAATATAGGACAAGACACCCAATTAACAAGTCTTACAGTCCTTGAGTACTACAGTCTCTTTACACATACCTATGCTACCATGGTTAATAACCTCTTTCTTCCAGCAAAGAAGAGGGCAGATACTGATCACTTGCCCTACCATTTCAAATTAACAATATGAAACTAAAGAATCATTGCTTGAGAATCCTAGAATCTAAGCAAGAGAGTAAATAAAATGAAAAACAGGGAAATAAAATGTGAAAAAGGGGAAGGAAATGCACAGCACTTAAAGCCAGATACATCCTTAAAAGCATGGATGATATAGCAGGAAAGACCTCTCTAACCCATACATATTTTAGACCTTCTAAATTATGTGTCTGGTGGCAATTTATTCCAAACCCGACTGATGACAAGACTGCACTACGTCCAAAGTAAATATATTGGCTTTTGGATGTATCATCAAATTAGGCATTTATTTTTATGCAACCCAAAAACACTGACCACATGGATGTTTAATCAAAGTTTAAACATTTGAAAGGGTAATGGATAATGTTATTGCTGATGAAATGTTTACCTGTCTTAGGATCAATGGAGAAATATGGTTGCCCCTGAAGTATGCTGTAAACCACTCTGGCACTGTTTCCATATGTGGGATCATCAGCATCTGTAGCTTTGACTTGAAGCACATAAGCACCTACAAAAAATACAGGCATTTTAACTTCCAATAGAAAACGGAGATTAAGGATTTTTTCTAGTTTTTTGGTGGACTCTGCTATAATCTACTTTTCTTTGGAAACAGGAAGAGAACAATGTTCGTCTGAGGCTCTTAACAGTAAAAATGTAAGTTGCACCGGGGAGAAAACAAGGTGGATATTCTGTATTCAGAACTTAAATGCCATTCGATATCTGCAAACTGGATGGGAAAGCAGTTAGTTTCTTCTACAGGGAATGCAACAGGGAATGCAGGTGAGGGCAGAAGGAAGGAGGAAGCTAAAGAAAACTGGGTCTCCTGGGAATTTTACCGGTTTAATAAAACTTCACTAGGAATTTGAGCAATGTGGCCCTGAGGATCTAAATGGGCATTTATACACATACCTTTTCACACTGTGACATGCCAGGGATCTGACACATTGAAGCAGACTCAATTATTCGAGTCTGCTCTTCACTTGAGCAGATGCACATTCTGCTGCATCACGTGCAGTTGTATAAGTGGTGACATACACATCAGCGTGCAGAAAATGATGACGGTGTGCTTTTGTACTAAAACGCCTTTAATGTATTTTCATTCAAAAGCGCAGCACCCCCATTTTCTCAGCGCTGACTCATGTTTAGCTATTTATACAAATGCATGTGCCGCAGTGCCGTGCAAGTGCAAACATGTATACAAATGCCCGATAAGGCAAGAGCAACTTTGGAGAGCCTGACACTCTGAAACCTAACATCTTTACCAAAGTCTCCTGAAATCCATGCTAATGTTCATCATAAGAGAAAAAAGCCAGTATCAAGTGTTTACATCTGCCTAGAGGTGTTTAGATTGAGGCAAAATTACAGAGCCATAGAATCATAAGGATCTTAAGGTCACCTGATTCAACCCCCAGCATGAATGTAGGAATTATCTCCACCCAATGCTTATCCAACCTCTTCAAAAAAACCTCCAATGAAGAAAGTTTTGCAACTTCCTTGAACTGTTTATTCCACTGTTTCACTCAGTATGTTGGTTTCTTTACTATTAGTTAAACAAAGGCAATTAACAAGACTGTTTACTTTGTTGTATCTGCTCACTATGGAAATTTATTTCATATAGTTATCAACTCAGGGATCCCTCCAAATATTAGTATCAGCAGTCATTGTCTTTTCTAATAATAGGGATTTTACAACCGCATGCAGAAAGAGACACCTGTGTGACACCAGCTCTAGAGATATCACTTACAGTAAGACCATTTTACTAAGCCTGAAGAAAAACCAGGCAACGTGTTTAGAGGCTGATGTTCCCACCAGCAGGGAAGGTTTGACATTAATAATAGAATAAGGCCTATGAAGAGGTTCAGTTATTTTTTAAAACCAAAAAAGTCTTCTTTCCCTTAAATGCATAATAGGTGTTGCTGAAAATATAGTGCCAGATTTTGACATGAAAAGTTAGGAATACCACCATAACACATACAAAACAGGTATTTTTTCACACAAACAATCAATAAAATCTGGAGAATAAAATCTGTCAGTTGGCATTGAAGCAAGTCTTTAAGGAAGCAATGACTTGTTCTGCCTGCAAATAATAAATAAATACAATAAAAATAAATACAAGCGCTATACTGCAGCCTCTTAGAAACAAACACTCTCTAGTCTAGAATACAGGCCAACAAGCAGTCTGTATATTTTCAATGAAATAGATATTTTATTCAGGGAATTGGCTAAGAAATCCAGGCTTCAGTCTTGTTCATCTCAGGCCAGCAAGATACAGCAGCACTGCTGAAACAGAACATTCAGTTTCACATAGTACTTACATATACTAGATATTCATAATCAGCCATGTCTGTAGGAAACATAAAATGAAGTTATTTTTGTTCCCATACAGGGTACTGATGCAATGATGTACATAGGATAGCAGACAACCTAGACAGAAATGTGTATTTGAGTTGATAGTGAATTCTTAATATAACATGGCTGTCTCAGGAACTTCTTTATTCATGCCAATAATAACTACATAAATTTACTACATTTCCCTCATACTTCATATGACGCAGCAGTTCTAAACCTCTGGGCTGCAGACAGTGAACTCATCACATGAAGTTGGTTCTTCCTCAATGTTTATAAATATATTACTTTCCTAATATTACACTTCCATGTATGCAGTATTTGTCGTTACCACCTTCATTTATGCAATCACAAATAGGAAAGGAAATGGTACATGCAAAAGTGAATGTGAGAGGAGATGGTCTCACAGAAAATCTTCCTATTATGATGTGGTTTGCAGAACAAAAGACATTTGAGAACATCTGGCATTTCCCCAAGAGTACCCAGGGAACACTGCAAATGCTGCAGAATTGTTATATAGGCATGTGTTACCTGTGTATATATATCTAAAGGGAGGTGCCTCTCTTGCTCTCTCACTCTCTCTCTCTCCAGCTAAATGCAATGTTGTGTGTGTGTGGGGGGGAGGTTCTCTCTTGCTTTCTCTCTCTATATATATAGCTATATGTAGATATAGATATGTATTTAAGGTCCCCTAGCACTAACTTTGATGTACTTGTCAAAGTTTGTTTTAATAACACCCCCCCCAGCTAATCTGATAGAGAATGAATCTGATCACAGAAAGGTTTGACATTTTTTGGAGGTTTCCTCTTTCCCCCTGACATGTATCTACTTATCAGGATTGTCAGCAGTGTTGGTGGCATTGGAGCTAATAGTGTAAAAGAACTGGAAATTTGTTGGTTAATTCTGTGCATGGTTGCTTCAGTTACAGTGAAGTATAAGGTGTCACAGGAGATTTCCTGTTACATACAGAGGAGAATACAGAAGCATGAGAGTTTATGAAAAGCTGAACAGTTAAACAATGTATTAATTTTTAAAAAATGTTGGTCATGTTTACTGGCTCCTTAGCAGGTTTCATTTGAGTCAACTTCTAAATAGAAGAGAAGATTGAGAGCGTATTTCAGAGAATTAATTGGATTCAATTAATAAAAAGCCAGAAGTTACTCTCCTTAGATTTGCTTGAAGTAAGGGATGAGGAACACATGCTTCTGAAGCCATGAGATGCCAGAGATCCAAATCAGTCCTGATACCACATTCCTAGGAATTCTAAAAATCCTGAGCTCTGCAGTATTGAAAGAGTAGATGCTTTACAGTAGATCTTATGTTGTGCTTCCTGCCCTGGGCTTCCATTTGAAGAGTGGACTGACTTATGATGACTCATGATATTGGGTCATGGGGCTAGTGTCTGGGTCTGTAGAAATCAGAATAAATATACTGCATTTACCCAAATGTTAGACAACCTCCCCATACCTAGATTCTACACATGAAAAATTTATAAATTTGTTATAATTTCCCATATATGGAATCTAATTATTGGAGGATCATCTCAAATTTAGCCCTGCCCACTACTGCAAGTGGTGAGAGGAGAGGTTATAAGGGGTGCAGTAAGGCAGGCAGGCAGTGGGGGACAGATAGTGGAGGAGGCAGTAGGGGGCACATGGTAGAACAGGTGATGGGACAGTAATGGGGCAGGCAGGGGAGACGGTGGAAGACAGGCAGTAGAGGGGAAGGTAGTAGGCAGCAGGTATTGTGGAGGCAGTGAGCCAGGTAGTGAAAGGCAGGCAGCTTGCCCATTTCCCCACCTCCCACTTACCTTCCATTATGCCTACCCCTCACCCCCTGCAGCTTTATGCCTTGCCCCAGGGCCAGGGCAGCGACTGAAGTTATATTAGGAACAGGAATCAAGGACAACAATAAGTCCTTGTTTAGGTATGTAGGGAACGGGAGGAAAACAAATGCGAGTGTGGGGCCACTGCTCCCATGAATGATGCATGCCCCTGGCAGCTGGGGGGTGTGGCAGTGGCAGAAGGTGGCAGCAGGAGTACAGTGGTGGTTAGTGGCGGCCAGCAGCAATCGCAAACCGCTTGTAGATGCCACCGGCAATGTAGAAAGTGGCAACTGCACACAGGTGCCTCCAACAGTTTTGGCAGTGCCTTTTTGTAAGGGGTGCACCGCCACACTCAGGGGGTGCACATGCGCCCATGTGCACCTCCTATGCATCACCCCTGATTGCTCCACAACTCAGGACAGCTGGTTACAGACACTCAGGAGAAAACTGAACTCCTGAATGACTACTTTGATTCAGTATTTCACCGGGCCAAGGGGAAAATCATGCCAGACAGGATACAGAATGAGCAGGGCAGGAATGACTGCTTTCTTACTGTTGCTGTAGAACTGGTGTATAAAAAAAAATAGACATATATAAATAAGCAGGACCAGATGAACTCCATGCAAGAACGAATGCAGGAGCTGGCCAAAGTTATTGCAGAGCCCCTGTGTTCCAAAACTCATGGTGCTCCAGAGAGGTCCCTGAGGACTGGAAGAAGGCCAATGTTGTGCCCATTTTCAAGAAGGGGAGGAGGGAGGACCCAGGTAACTATAGGCCAATTAACCTAGCTTCTATCTCAAGGAAAATCCTGGAAAAATTCATTAAAACTCTATGTGCAATAGGCTTGAAGAAGGTAGAATTCTGAATGACAGCCAGCATGGCTTCATCACAGGCAGGTCTTGTCTTACCGATTTCATCTCCTTTTATGACCAGGTAACTTGCTATCTGGATAAGAGAGAAAAGGTTGACACTGTATACCTTGACTTCCAAAAAACCTTTGATCTGGTATCCCACAATATTCTTGTGATAAAATTGGAGGACTGTGGGCTTAACTGCGAGAGAGTTAGGTGGGTACAAAGCTGGTTGTGAGGCACGACCCAGAGAGTCCTAATGAACGGATCAGTGTTGCCCTGTTGAGAAGTGGCCAGTGGTGTCCCACATGGGTCAGTGCTTTTCAACATCTTTAACAATCATTTGGATGTGGAGGTGAAGAGCTCACTGGCCAAGTTTGCAGATGCCACCAAGTTATGGGAAGCATAGTCACGCTTGAAGACAGGCTACAGATACAGGCAGATCTAGACAGGATAGCAAGTTGGGCAAGTTGGAACCAGATGAAG